CTTTTCTTCATAGGTAACGATTGATTTTAAATTTTTAAAAGAGATTTTTTTGGTTTTCCAGGCTTCGGCATATGCCCGAACAGAAAAAGCAGCAATTAGTCTCCAATTCTGTCGCAATTGTTAGAAATACAGGAACTCCCAAATCTAATGGAAATTGTGCAAGTGTGGAATGTCCTCAACGGGAAAGTGTTCCCTTAACAGCAGATGAGGTTTTTGAAGTTGTTTATGGTGTCAGGGAAGTTGATAAAAATAGTCAAAAGAATGGGAATGAACGCGGTGTTCAAAAGATTGAGAATGATAGAAGTACTCAAAAGGTGGAGAATGAAAGGAGTGTTCAAAGGAATGAGAATGAACGAGCTCCTTTTAAGATGGAGAAGCTAGAAAGGACTGAAAAGCCAGGAATGGTTTTCGTTGTAGATGCTCATGAACGCAGGGTTCGGATTGTATCGAGAGAGGAAATGAGGAAGCAGGTTTTTATATATTTTTTAATAAACTGGATTTTTAATTGTCTTTTGGGCTTTCTTCTCTATTTCGTCAATTTTGAATTTCTTTCTCTTTCTTTCAAAAAGGACCATAATGGTCAGACTTTCTGAATTTTTTACTAATTTTATGGAAAAATATAAAGGAGAGCTTTTACATTCCATATATTTTATACGTCAGATTAATAATACTATATTTGACTAGGGTTGCCGTTATCGAGTTGGTCCGACGTTCGAGCCATTTTTCGGGCCTCATTTTTATCGGGTCGGCCCGATCGAGTCTTTTTCGTGTCAAAATTCGATGCCCGACTCGATCTCAAAATTATCATTTCATTTTTAAAAAATTTTTTTAGTCATCACGCCTAATTCTTTTGGAAGACTTGCCTGAGGAAGAACTTTCTCGTTTTGGATCCATTTTTGCTGATGACATTGAGAGCTCTGATAGATTTGTACATTGTGATATTTGTGACCAATATTTTGGTATTTTTTAAATTTAAAAAAAAATTCTAAATTTTATTTTAGACTTTTGCTGCCTCGAACATCCACTTTATCAATGCCAGGATCGGGATCCTGCTGTAAGTGCTCAGAATTCGCCGTCCAAAGAAGGAGATGATAGGGCTTCCTTGACATTGCCAGGCTTTTTGTATATACACAATTCTCCTATTCCGAATGCTGGCAAAGGTTTTTTTAAAAATTTTTTTTTGGAAATTTTTAATTATTTTAAGGTGTTTTTGCTAAAGTAGATATTCCTGTTGGAATTGTTTTTGGTATTTTTTTTAATTAAAAAACAATAAGAAAATTTAAACAAATTTTTAGGTCCATATGAAGGTATTCTTTTTCAAGATCCTAAGAAAGCAAGTCAGGATGGATACTCTTGGGAATTGCGTGTTGGCAATGGAAAGCCCTCCTTTTATATTGATGCGAAGGATCCTCGATATTCTAATTGGATGGTAAATTTTCTAAATAAAAATGCTTCTTTTAAAGTGGGAAGACCCACACTTTCGGCCACTTTTTCGAACTTTTTCTATCTTCAGTCAATCAAAAGGCTTTCAATGATTTTTTAGAGTTCCATAATCTAGAATCGGAAACTTTGATCGACTCTCTCGTTATTTTTTTTAAATTTTATATTAAAAAATCACTCCATTTTTATTGACTGATTGAACCATCTGCGGCCATGAACAAGTCCAAAATTTCGAGACTTCCCCTCATCTCTTCAAGCTCTAAAATTTTCTAAATTTATATAATTTCTAGCGTTATATCAATTCTCCAAGGCACGAAAGTGAACAAAATCTTCTAGCATTCCAATATCGTGGTTCTGTCTTTTACCGTGTCTATCGTCCTGTTGACAAGAATAGCGAATTATTGGTTTGGTATGCAAGCCGAGTGAAAAGAAAATTTCTGTTTTTAATTTATTAATTTTCTCTTCATTTGGCTTTAAAAAAATTTATTTATTTTTACGAAGAAAAATTCTTTTTATTTTAAGGTATGGAAAGAGCTTTGGCAAAGAACTCGGTATAATAAACGCAACTAGTAAGAAAAAACCTTTTGTTTTCTATCCCGGAAAGAATCCATTTGTTTTGTAGTCTTAACTGTTTTAGAATTATATATGTATTAATTTCTACTTCACTTTTATTCTCTTTGTCGATATTTTTTCGAATTAATTACTGGTTCAAAATTCTGATATTTGCTGCATAACTCTCCCATCTCTTTCATTTGCCTTTTCATGGTATATATAAATATTGTTTTTTTTTCTGGGGGAAAATTGTTTCTGCTTTTTTATATACATATCCTTATAAATATATTTTTTTGATTAGTATGATAAATTAGATTTTTTAAAAATTTTTTTAAATTGGCGTTTGATTTGGTTAAAATTTTCTATTTTATTTTTAGACATTTTTAATCTTTTGTTTTTTCCCAATTAATTTTTTAGGAGTTTTCAATAATGACGGAAGATATTTACAAAGTGGAGGATTTAAGCAAGGGGTTGGAAAAGAATAAATTGGCTGTTGTGAATAAGGTTTTTTTTATTTTGATTTAAAATTTTATTTGCAGTATAATTATGAGAATCTTCCGCCTTTTGAATACATTTTGGGTGTTGAATTGTCTCCAGAGTTGAAAGATGCGTTTACTAATCGAGAGGTATTTTGATTTTTTTACAATTAGCCGGATGGCTTTTGGAATTTTTTAAAGTTAATTGTTATCTTATCTTGGAAAGGAACGCCCCTGATATTCATGTAATAATTAACTGCTAGTAGAGACCGGTGCGGGACTGGATTTTCCGTGATCCCGAAATCCTGGATTTTTTCAGTTTCGGGTTCCGGAAACTAAAACCCGAAACTGTTATCTTCTTAACCCGGCATCGGTTAAGAAAAAATCTCTAACTGCTACTAATATATAATATAGAAAATTTCGGACAAAATATTCGAGGAGGTGTGTCGTTTAATTAAATTTCATTTAGAATTTCTGCAAATGTTTAATCACTGATTGTGCCAATAATATTCGAGATCAGTGCTCATGTAATGACAAAACTGCGTTTTGTTGTTCTCTATGTTCATGCTCAAGTCAAATAGAAGCAAACTGTTCCAAACGTTATTTGCCTTTAAATTGTTTATTTCAAGTTTATTATGTCAATCCGCAAAAGAAGTGGGGTTTAAGAACTCTTAATTTCATAAAAAAGGGAAGCATTCTTTTTGAATATGGTGGGATTTTATCAGAAGACAAAGATGGAATTGAGGACGATGATTATATTTATTTATTTGATTATGTAAGTTTTAAAAGCTTTGTTAAAAACTAGGGTTGTGGTTTTCGAGTCGGGCCGACGTTCGAGTCATTTTTTCGGTGCTTTTCGGGTCGTTTAATCGATGTTTGACTCGATCTTTTGGACCGGACCAGGCCTCCACTAGTTAATAGTTAAAACTACCGGTTCTTTTCTGTTATATCATCAAAAATCCGCAACATTTTTTCTGCATTTCGCAAAAATGCGCATAATGGTCAGACTTTTAAATTCTAGTCATTTTATGTATATGGTCTCTATATGCCATAAAAAATTATAAGGAATTTATAAGTTAAAGTTGAGGAAGAAAACTGCGGACATTTTCCGTCGTTAGAAATAAGGGTGAGGCTCGACTTCAAGTGAGGTTCAACTATTCTGAAACAATTTTTTTAATTTATAGAAAGACAAGAAATACATAATTAATGCTCATAAGAAAGGCAATTTGGCACGTTTCGCAAACCACTCTTGTGCAGCTAACTGTTATACCCAAGTTTCGGAAATTGATGAAACAAATGTGCCGCATTTAATAATTGTTGCTGCGAGGGATATTTAGTTAAATATTTTCATTAAATTTTTTTAAATTTTATTTTTAAATTTCAGTCCGGGTGAGGAAATAACGCTCAATTATGGACATTATTGGTGGAATGTAAAAATGATTAATTCAAATTTAATTTGCTCTTGTGAATCCTCTAAATGTCAATATTCTAGGTATTATTTTTAACTGTTTTTTTTGAATTTTTCTGATGAGTAAATGTGTCTATTTATCGAGGGTGACTATTATTTTAGTTAGGAGCTGACCAACGTACAACGAGCTCAATGTACCTCCGTGCTAACAGTTCTGCGGTTATAGAGCTCGTTGCACGTATTGGGCTTGTGGTACGTTGGGCTGTACCCATTTTATTTCAATGTAAACATTTTTTCATTGACAAGTCTTCTTTACCTATTGGAGTTTTCCCAATTTTTAAACATTTTATAAATTTTTTAAATAAAAAAATTTAAGCTTTCCTACTCAAAATGGATATGTAAATGGTGAAAATCATCTCACTTCAGAAAATGGCGAGTGTTCAAGTGTGATAAAAAGCTCGCAATGTGCTAGAAAGTTTGCAGGCCCAAACCCCCAATGTGCTAGGAAGATCGCTGTCCCCTTCTCAATACGAAAAAATTGTGCTAGGAAAGATGCGGCGGCTCCATTCTCAATACCGAGAAATTGTGCCAGGAAGGTGTGTTATGAGGAATCTGATGAAATTACAATATTATCGGATAGTGAGGAAGAAGAAGACGTTGAAAAGGAAGACGTTGTTGAAAAGGAGGAAGAAATTGAAAAAGAAGTTGGGGAAGAAGAAGTTGTAGCTAATAGCGAGAATAACGAGGTGGATTTTGATGACGACGATATAATTTGTATAGAAAATTGAATTTTGAATCTGAATTTTGAAAATTAAAGTGTATTTATTTTTTCACTTTTTTGAGGAAATAATTAGGGTTGCCAAAATCGTACGGCCCGACTCGATAAAAACAAGTCCCAAAAAATGCCTCGACCATCGGCCTGACTCGAAAACGGCAACCCTAGAAATAATACCTCTATTTATGTTAAATTTAATCATGTTTTTTTAATTATTTTGTTATTTTCTCTTATTTTTTGAAAATAAATTTTTTGATATTTACCTAAATGTTTTTTACGATTTATTAAGTTGTTTAACTACTTTATTTGTATTAATTAATTTTTTAATTAAATAATTTTTAAATTTTGGATGAACAACAATATGTTGCGATTTTTGCTTCTATTGATAGCTGTGTTCTGTTCAGTTGCAGTATCTGATCGAGGAATCACTTTAGAGGTTGGGAATTTTCGGATACGTTACTTATATGTTTGACGTTTATTTTTTTACGTTGGAGACCGAGATTTTTAACAATTCGGGTCTTGGGTTACTCCGTCGTTTAGTAGTTTTCTCGAAATAAATAACCAGCGAAAAGTACAAGGCCAATAAACAAGTAGTGCGCTGTCTGTTTTATATCATTTAAGTCTAACAATAAGCATATCATTTTGTTTCCAAACTAAAAAAATTTTTAGGAAAAAGTTCGCAATCTGCAAGATTCTATAATGAAACGACCTGTTATGAGTTTAAATTTGGAAATGTGGAAAACTTATATCCAATCCTCGCCACGTAATTATTCAATGATTGTTATGCTTACTGTTTTTTCTCCCAATATGAATTGCCCTATTTGCAAGTTTGTTTTTTTTAATTTTATAAATTTTTTTAAATTTTTTAGACCTGCCTATGAAGAATTCCTCATTATGGCAAATTCGTATCGCTACACCTTTTTGAACAACAAAGCTTTATATTTTGGAGTTGTTGATTATGAAAATGCACCACAAATTTTTAATTTGGTTTATTTAAAAATTATTTTTTATTTCAAAATTTTTTAAAGTTAAATTTAAACACGGCACCAGCAGTCTTTCATTTCCCTGCTAAAGGGGCAAGACGACCACAGGTTGAAAAATTTTTTTAATTGTTTATTGGATTATAAGTCCTCGTAAAAAATAAAAAAAATTAAAAAAAAATTTCTCTCATTATTTCCAAAACCTTTTCACTTCTTTTTTTGGGAAGATTTTTTTATCTATTTTTCGACTTTTCAGAAAAATATTTTCTTGTAAAATAATTCATTTAAAGGATTCTATGGATTTTCAACGTATGGGTATTGATGCTGAAGCAATGGCCAAATTTGTTCAAGATCGAACTGATATTCACGTTTTCTTTATAAATTTTATTTCCCTAATTTTTTTAATTTTTAGATTCGAATTCTTCGTCCTCCAAGCTATGCCGCTCCCGTTGTTATTCTTCTTTTGGTTATGCTTGTACTCGGTCTCCTTTATATGCGTCGGAATAATTTGGAATTTCTTTTTAATCGAACTTTTTGGGCTTGTGTTTGTCTTGTAAGGAATTCTTTGGTGATTTTATTCTAAAATTTATTTAAGGCAATTGTCTTTGCTTTCATGTCTGGACAAATGTGGAATCATATAAGAGGCCCCCCTTTTATGATGACACATCCTCATGGACGTGAAACTTCTTTCATCCACGGAAGCACTCAATACCAACTTATTGCTGAAACCTATATTGTTTTTGGACTTTATTTGGCTATTACTGCAGGGGTTATAGTTTTGAATGATGCTGCTAGTAGTAAAACTGATCCAGGAAGGAGGAAATGTAAATTCTTTTAATTTTTATTTTTTTTATAATTTTACATTAAATTTTCAGTTATGTCATGTATCGGCCTAGGAATGGTTGTTGTGTTCTTCAGTTTGTTGCTGTCAGTTTTTCGCAGCAAATATCATGGATATCCTTACCAATTTTTGTTTAGTTAAATATTTATTGGGGGATTTTTTAAAATTTTCTCTTCGGTTCCTGGGATCTTCAAACGAAAATGTTTCTTTTCATTTCCTTTCATTCACTATTTTGAAATTATATTTTATTAAAAATGTGTTATTAAAATTAATGAAATTCGTTAAATAAATTCTGTGTTTATTAAATTTTTTTGTAATTTCTAAAGTTTTAACTATTTTAAATTATCTTTTTTTGTTTTTGTGGTAAATAAAAAAAATTTTTTAGATATGGATATTCAATTGAATTTTCTTAAATTTCAACCTTTAAAGAATTGGCTTGATTATTTTTTAAATAGACAAGAACTGAGGGATTTATTAGATCAAACTTCAGGTAAATTTGTGCCTACTACAACTGATTATTTAATTTTAAGACTTCAATTTTGTGATTACTTTATGCGATCAATTTGTCGAACAAGCATTGGTAACAGAAAAGGAATTGGCTCAAGTTGGGAAAATTTATTTAGACCAAGGTTAACTAAGAAATTTATTTTTTAAATCAAATTGAATTATTCAGAAGATAAAATCTGTTTGAGATATAAAGCCAATGATTTATGGCTGTGTGCTATGAGCTGCTTTGCTTGTTGTAATTGGGACTTGGGGCTGTTGATGAAAAAGTATTTTTTAATTTCTAGATTTTCAATTTTCTTTTCAGTCTAAATGTTCAGAAAATTCAATCATTGTTGGATCAGCTGGTTAAATGGACTTTATTGCAAGAAGTTTGTTTAAATTTTAAGATAATTTTTTAAAAATTCTTTTTAGGAAATTGTTCAGGATCCTTTCGATTATTTCTGCAGTGTTACCTCCTCTGAAAAATTTGACACAAAAAAAATTTTCTCTGTTTGGATTTATGCTCGTTGGATTCTTTTGGTCGATTCAGAGGCTCGTTTTCCTTCAATCCCTGCAAAGCCAACAGTCAGCAATCCGTCAGTTTTATGTGATTGGTTAAACATAAATTCCATCAATTTTAGTTACAATTATCTTGATCAGAGTCTCCTTCAAGCAGAGAAGTTGGCACAAACAATCCTCGATGTCCAAAAGAAAATTTCACAAGCCATAAAACTTTTAGACCAGATGTGGAATTTATATAGTGGAATTTATGTACCCAAAAAAGAATGTTTTTATCCTAATTTGGAGGTTATTACGGAGGTTTTTTAATTTATAAGATTGATTTTCATAAACAATCTTAGGGCTCTAATCTTCAAAATATTGGCGATTTTTCAAAACCTGACATCCAAAAACACTCTTGGTTCTTTAAACTTGATATTTTTCAATTGAGAACTGCTTTTGATCTTTTAAATGCGCATTTTTGTGCAAAACATTTTTCCAAAGCAAAAACACTTTTTGAATTTGTTTGTTTATTTTTTTGATTTTATCAGGTTTAAATTTTTTTATTTAAGGTAAGAAAAACTTGGCAAAGACTTAAAAACAACCGTGAATCCATTGATGTGGAAAATAAATACTTTTTACCAAGTGAGCAAGATATTAATGGATTTGCCTGTGCTCTGGGATTTGATATTCCTAAAGAAGTAAGGAGTTTTTATTTTTTTCTCTGTTTATTCCTACAATCAGAAAAACATTAAAATTTGAAATTTCTTTTATTTACGAAAATTTTTATCAAAAAAATTATTTCTGATTTTATTTGTATATTCTTCCAAATTTTACTCATTTTTAGAATTCTTCACTTTGCCAATCTGGTGACATTAATTTATTTATGCAATTTGCTCTCGTTAGACCCAAACATAAAATTCCTGTTAATATTTTGGTTGAATTACTTTCTATGGGAATTTGTCGAGTTTCAAAGATTTATCTCGACAAAGAACTTCGACAATCTGAAGAATTGCGTTTAGAATTAATTAAAGTAAATTTTTTATTTTTTAGAACTTTTCTTCATTTTTAGAGTTTCCAATCTCATCTTTCTTCTTTAAACGGTTTAAATTTCAAAATTAAATTTATTCAACGTGCCAGATTACTTGGCTCTCTTTATTTTCTTTGTTCTCATTGTTTTGGTTTTGCTGATACTCTTGTTAATCATGGAAAATTATCTGAAGATCAAAAAATTAGGTTTATATTTATTTCTTATTTTTAAACTTCCTATAGAAATCTGGCTCAATCTTCTACAATTGACTTGACACCAACAGTTCCCTCAGATTTGCAATTACAAGGTTCTTTCCAAATTAAAAAATTTTTTATGAAAAATTCATTGTTAGAATTTACAAAATCTGAAAATGCTCTTTGGAATGTCGTTACCTCTTTTGATATTAATGTTCTTCGTAACTCGTTTGCACAACTAGATCCTTCAATTCGTATTGAGAATAAAAGGGTATTTTACTGGTTTTATTAATTTGATAAATGCCATATAGGAGAGTGGGCATTTTTTAAATTTTTATTTGGATAACCTTTATAAACTCAAATTTCCATATCTTAATCTTTTATTTAAATCGAAAACCCCCTACATTCAAAATTTTAGATGGTCTTCTCTCCAGTTTCTGCTGATCCAATTTTGAATGCCATAAATGCGTCTGGCGATCGTTTTTTTATTCGAAGTCAAATAATGCTATGGAAATTGGAACAACTTGCTCTTCAAGGGGTTAAATTTATTTTAAAATTCTCTAAAAATTATTTTAGAATATGAAAAAATGGACAGAATTTGTAAATAAATTTAGTGAAGATTGTAAAGTTATAGAAGAAAATAAAGAATTACAAATGCTTCTTCTGTGTGATTCAATGAGGATTGGAGTTATTTAAACTTTTTTTTTATTTTTTAAAATGTTTTTTTAAGTTAACAAATTGGAATACAGATTTTTGTCGTCCAAGTTTTCCCCATGAATTTGTTAAAAATGCTGCGGAATTGAAACAACAGCTAAATGGTGTTTTGACTAGGGCAATACAAGACAACAAAAGTACTTTTCAGATTTTTAGTAAAGAGGTTTTTTAATGATTTTTATTTTAAAATTTTGAAAATGTTGTTTGTGACACGAATCTATTTTAAAAATTTGTCCGAGAATTCTCGGTTTTTTCCCTGATTTTTTTTGTTTCGCAACAACTTAACCAGACGATTAAAATTTCTAATTTGAACAAGTTAGGAAGATTTGGAAATTTTTATCAAAAAAATAAAATTATTCCAAATAAATGGTCCTTCCGTTCTCTCCCCAAATAAACTGAACTTACCCCACCACCTTTTTATTAAAAAAATTTTTTTTTCTAGTTAACATGTTATCTACTGAACAATCGAGAATGGTCTTTTACCAGTCAACGTATCAAAAATCAACCACTTTTAACTACTCCTTTTACAAATATTGCTGTTATTTTTTCATTTTTCTTCACTAAATTGTATGTCGAAAAGAAACGGGATGAAGCATTTAAAACAGCTAGAGAAGTTATTTGGAAAGTTTTAACTCCAACTTTTGATGCTGTTAAATTTGGGTAAGAAGATTTTTAGCTTCTAGGGTGAGGAGAGCGAACGTGGATCGTTTCCCATGCTAGAACCGGATTTTTAGTCTGGAGTATGTTTGTCTTTTCTGGACCGAACCAAAGAACCGATGATTTTTCGGTTCGGATATTGGTTTGGTTCCGGATATCCGAAGATCTCCCACGAACCGACAACCCTAGTCTGGAGACTAGGGTTGTCTTCCATCATCAACCCTAGTCTCTTCTATGATTCTTGAAGGGTGTTAATTTATAGGATTTTAACATCCTTCGAGAACGATAGATAATTTTAAGTTTTAAATTTTAGGCAAGAACCAAGGCAATGTATGATTGGAAAGGAAGCATTAATTAGCTTGATTGAGGGATTAAAGGTTTAAAAATATTTTTTTCGTCAAAATTTATTTTATTTTATCGTCTTTTTAGGATTTGGAAGTCCTCAATATTTTTATAGGATTTGTCAGTTTTCTCTACAATTTTGTTTTAACTACATATCAAAAACCATTAAAAAGTAGCATTAATTCAACGGGAGAGTCTGATGCTGTAGACAATTCTACAGCGACATCTGATGAATCAACAAGTCAACAACAACATACGGAAACAACATTATTACGTGCTGTTGGACGAAATGTCTATTTAGATAATGTTGAATTGTGGCAATCAATAAGTACATTGGAGACATACAAGTTTAAATTTTTAAAAATAAATTTTAGAGATAAAATAATTTTCAGAACATATGACATTGATGTTGATTATGTTGAAAAAGTATTAGATTTATTAGCTGAACAAGCATCTCTCGTTGGGCCAGTTTATTTGCCTTGGCTGTGTTTTCGAGCTGATTATGCATTTGGTTTTTTTTCTAAATTTATTTGAATAATTATCTTAATTCAATTTAAAGTTCGTGAAAGATATGAGGAGGCAACTTTGCTTTATTTGGAAACAATTATAGCATTGGATCGTGGACTCAATCATCAAACATCTTCACAGGAAATTGGAGGTACTAGCACAACAACGAAGCAATTAAAAAAGAAAATGGATATCGATTTGGTTATTTTTTATAAATATTTATATCACACAATGTGGTCTGACCTCGTTATTGGATACACGGAGTGTTGAAAAAGTGTAAATAATTGTGAACATGAATAACGCTTATGTTAGGCAACTCTCCAACTAGTATAGCTAACTAAATTAAATTTTCTTGTAAAAATCATATCCTAAATTGAGGTGATCTAATCTCGAATATTTTATAGCAAGTTCAACCGTGTATTAAACTTAAAAAATTGTTTCTCACAAGGAAGCATACCGAACTACCACCAAAAATTTTGCGATGAAACATACGCCATTGTGTAAAGCAGGGTCGATTTCCTGGGACACGCCCAAGTAGGCGCACGGCCATGTAGGCGCAAAGCCATAACTACCTTGAAAATTTGGCCTATAACTTTCCCAAATCGGAAAGTTATAGGCCTTCAAAGTGTCATCTTTTCCCTCCTAAAATTAAATAACAGAAACTTTTAAGATTTATTCAAAATTGTCAGTTTCCCTTTATTTTCTTCGAATGCCAACTTTAGCAGCCATTGTTGGACAAATGCATACAGATATTAAACCTCATTTAAATTTGGTAGAATATTTATTAAAAAATACAGCAGCAACAATAGATTCTGGTCCAGCATATTTTCCTTTAATTGCTGATATTCATTTAATGGAAAGGATGGCTGGTATTTTTTGAATAATTTTTTTTAAATTTTCTTTTTAATTTTTTTTCAGTAATTTATGAACAACCACCATTAGAATTACCTCTTTATACACAAGCTTTGGTACATTTTTTTATTTTAAAAAAATTTCTAAAATTTTTTCTTTTAGTGCCAACCAAGTAGAGCAATTAATGTAAACAATTCTCAAGAAGTTTTGGACAGAGAAAGGTTAAGAAGAAATGAAAGAATAGCTGAAATACTTTGTAAACAATTTTTTGGAATTAATATAGGAAGGAGATAATGATGGTATTTAGAAAAGGTTTTTGTTTATGTTTTTAACTAGAAAAAGATCTCCAAATTTTGTTTTTTAATTTTTTTGATTAATAAATTATTTTATTAAAATATTTTTTTGTTTATTTGTAAATAGTTAAAATTAACTATGTAAGAAATATATTTAATTATTTTTTAATTCTTTATATATTCTTTTAATTTTGATGAGTGTTGTTAATCTAACAAACGGAACAGATTTATTAGAGCAATATTTTTCTGATAAATCTTTGGATGGAGTAAAGAAAATTGTCCGTCTTATTTTAAACTCGTGGCCATGTTATCAATTTGCAATAAAAAATCAACTTGGAGGTTCGCAAACGGCAATAAAGGTTTTAAATAATTTTAAAAATAATAAGGCGTTGAAGAGTTTGGGGAGAAGAGTAATTGGGAGTAAATCCCGAATTGGGGAGTAGAACCCTCTTTTGGTGTTAGCCCTGAATGCCTGTTGATCCTGGAGACCTTCACCAGATTGTCAACACCATTTTCAATCGGGAGATCTGGAGGAATCAAAGAGAATAAAGTTAGATTTGGAGGGATTAGGGGTAGCTGGGTTTGGATTATTTTATTTTTCTTTAATTTTGAGGATTTTCACTTTATTTACTTATTTTTCATAGGATAATTGGTTCTCTGATGTCCTTTCAGAACACATTTTTAAACATTCTGATTTATACACATACGAATTATCTGAATGGATGGAAGAAATACTTTACAATGAATTTGATACAATTTCTGAAGATAATACACTTGACTCGACAGCTGATTTATTAATTAAAATGAGTAATTGGTTATTGGGAAGGGGCAAGACGAGTGTGGAAGAAGCAAAAACAAAATTTAGAGAAAATGTCGAAAAACTATTGGCAGTGAATTCGAAAAAGGTTTTTAATTATTTTTTGAAGTTTTGTGGTTGGAATAGGGGAAACTTTCAAATAAGTTCGAATAGTTCCCTCTAAAGAATCATGTTCTGACAAGTTCTCATTGGTATCAGAGACATCACGGGTTGAGAAGAAAGTCGTATTGGGTTTTGGAAAATTTCTTGAACATGGTTTCGGATAGAAAAAATCCGGGTAATCCGTGACATGATTGATATGTTTCTTTGAAATCGAAAAAATTGAAGGGGGGGGGTATTTTTCAATTTTAAAAATTACTTCCCTTCACAGGAAAATTAGAAAAAGATTTTCTGGACCGCTCCAAAAATTTTTGACAACCCAAAAAATTTTTCTTCTCCAGTTTTTTTATATTCTTAAAGTTCGAAAAATATTTTTTTAATTTTATAGGATGTAGTAAAAAATGTTGAACCTTCCGATTCAAGTGAAAGTGAGGATAGTGAAGACCAAGAAGATTAGACAAAATAAATAATATATAATTTATTTCCCATAATTATTTGTTGAATAAAAAATTATAAAATTCTCAAAAATATGTCAATGTCAAACTTAACAACAAAACATATTTTCTCTCTCTTAAGAACAAGCATCTTGTTGAATAAAAACTTTTTGTAAAGAACTAACTTCTTCATTAGAATTTGGACATTTACCTCCTTCACTCGGCACAATAGCTTTTTCAGCATATAAACAACATCCAATAATGCAACCACAAGGAAATAACATACAATCCATTTTGTGACAGTCAAAGTATTTTGGACAAACCAAACATTGTTTTGATGGAAGACGGCTTTTACAACGAGAAAATTTCAAATCAACTGAAAAAGGGGAAATTTTTTTATTAAAATTCAAATAATTTAGGAAAGCCTAGAATTAAGTGGAAATTAGTGTTTGTTCCTATAACTGCCGAAGGACTACTTTAATTTAGGGACCAGACCGAGACGTGATCTCAAGCAAAAATTTCGGTTATCAGGATCGATATTTTTCTAGATATCGTGTACAATTCTTGGACAACACTCCGCCATTCCCAGCCCGTTCTTAATTTTAATTCAAGTTGATTTTACATATAGATACCAAGGTCTTCTTAAATTATAGAATTTTTGCAAAAAATGTTCGGTTTTTAGGTAAAAAAGATTTTGGAAATCGGAGAAATTATTTACAAAATCCAAAAAATATTTCTAATTCTAGGAGAAAAGAACACTTCCCCAAAACTTAACCCATAAAAATAAATTTGTATAAAAACTTACGTCCCAATTCACTTTTGCAATAAGGGCATTTATCTTTCCATTTAGTCTCGCAACGAGAACAAAATACAGTATGTCCACAAGGGATAATAACAATATCAGCAGTATTGTTACAGCAACCAACACACAATGAAAATTCCCAATTTGTCTTCTTTGAAAGAATACCTTCTTTAATTCGATTGGAATATTCGAACAAATAATCTTTTGGATTGAGAAATGAGATTTGATTTTTTGTATTTTCTTTACTTGGCTGTAAAAAATGAAAAAAATTTAATAGGGAAAGCATTCAAAGTTGTTGCGGACAATTTTGTTTTGCGGACAATCAGATTTCCCGAATTTCCGTTTAAAATTGTTCAATTTTTATGAGATTAATTCTGAGAACCAGATCAATCAAAAATGATTAATTTTAGGTCATCCTACACGAGGAAATGAAATAAAAAAATTTTGAGAAAAGATTTCGTGAGCAGACCAATGTATCGCGAGCCCAGTGTACCAGAGCTATAACTTCGTTCAAAGTGGGCGAATCCGGGATGATTCGATGCGTCTTGACGAGCTGAATCGAACAAAACTAGGTCGTCCCAGATTCGCCCACTTTGAACGAAGTTATAGCTCTGCGCAAGGGCGTATCCAGGGGGGGGCTGGGGGGGCTAGAGCCCCCCCCGAAATGGGGGAAAGGGGGAAAAAATTAGGAGAAGGATGGTCGAAAAAGTGAAATTTTTTCGCCTACAACCCTCAAATTTAAAAAAATTTTCGCCTGCGGCGCAAAAAATGGAAGAAATCTGGCTTCTTGAGCTCCAAAATCCTCAAAATTTTTGCCTGCGGCGCTAAAAAGTGAACTTTTTTGGCCTACGGCCCTCTAAATTCCAAAAAATTTTCGCCTGCGGCGCTAAAAAAGGAAGAAATTTGTCTTAAGGATCCCGAAATTTTCCAAAATTTTTGCCTGCGGCGCTAAATAAGTGAATTTTTTTGCCTACGGCCTTCTAAAATTCAAAAAATTTTCGCCTGCGGCGCAGAAAAGATGAAAATTTATGTACAAAAAAATTTGCGTCCGGAACGCCAAGGTAAACGCCAAAAAGTTTTGCGCCCACCCAGTGTTAGCCCCCCCGAAACCGACCCCCTGGATACGCCCTTGGCTCTGCGGTACATTGGGGTGTACCCAGAGCTTTCATAAGCTCCCAAATTCCCGAATCTTTTGAAAATGTTCACAAAATCGATCCGCAAAATATGTCCGCAAAAGATTTGCAACTTTAAAAATTAAAAAAACTAACAAATTTATCAAATGGCGTAAAGAAAAAAAGATAGGCATCCTGCAAAATTGGGCACATTGTAAACTTGTAAATACTTGATTTAATGCCATTATGTCCAAACATTATCTTTTTTAAAAAAAATGGTACTACTGAAGATAAGGGTGCTATTTCTGCGGACTTATTTTGCGGACTTTTCCTTTCTTTCTTTTTTAATGTTTTGGTTGTTTTGCTTGTAGCGAGTTTTGCTTGTAGCAACTAACTGTCAAAGGATTAATTTTTATGCCAATTTGAAAAATATGTGTTCACCATTAATTTGAACATTATAAACGATGATAAATGAATTTCAACTATGAATTACTGATCTCGGAATGCTTCATAGAAAAAGAATATGTGATTGTGGATCAAAATGCGGGTAATTTCAAACCTTGTCCCCCCCCCTCCATTATTTTTATTACCTAAGATTGTACAAAATGGTCAGATTGTATAAAATGGTCTTTCCTATATTTGAGCTTGGCATATTCAAACAAGAGACATTGTTGATAAAGAGAAGATTAAAATTAATTGAGTTGTTCAATATTGAGTTCAATTTATTTTTTCAGTTGTTCAATATTTTTAAATATAAGTACGAAGTAATGTTTTTACACAGAAATGCATAATGTTATACACCAAATCAATTTTATTTAATTTTTTTTGTTTAACATCGTTTTCGGAGGCAAAAAATGAGTGTATGACTATAAAATTAATCTTCTCTTTATCATGTCTCGTTTGAATATGCCACAGGGCAAATAGAGGAAGGAGAGGAAGAAGAAAATCTGACCTTTGTGTACAATCTTAGGTAAGGAAAATATAATAATTGGGGGGAGGGCCTTTGACAGTTAGTAAACATTTAAAGGAAAGGAAAAGTCCGCAAAAAAAGTCCGCAGAAATAGCACCCTTATCTTCAGTAGTACCAAAAAAATTTATTAATTAAAAATTTACAAACAAAAACCTTAACTTTATTTGGTTCTTCTTTACTAATTAAAATAAAAAAGTCAATTGGAAAAGCACAACCAGGCACAAGTTCATTCCAATATTTAAAATCTTTGTCATTCCATTTATGTTTTAAAATAAATTCACAATCTTCTGGAGAAGTATTTTCTTTAGCTAATTCCCAAAAAAGTTCTTTGACTGGAAATGTTGTCAATCCAATATCTGGAAGTTTTTCTGAGTTGTTCTAAAAAATAATAAAATTTGATTAAAGGAAAGTGAAGTTTAATTGGGCATTTATTTATTACACCTCCCCCAGTCAATTTTTTGTTTAAGATCTACAAAATTCAATAATGAACCTGGCAGACCCCATCTCTTCCTCACCAACTTTTTCCTATATATCTACAGAATGATCAGACTTTCTCCTTTATTCCATCCAAATTGCCCTTTTATATTTTGCCAATCAAAAGGAATTAAATTTTATTCCCTTTTGGATAGAAGTAAGGAAAATTGAAGAAGTCTGACCATTCTGCAAATATATAGGAAGAAACTTGGGGAGGAAAAAATGGGGTCTGCCAGGTTCAATATTACCAAATTCAGAAATAGGACCAAAATGGTCAGCAAACTAGATATTCCCCAATAACTGCCTACTTCCTAATTTAAATATTTCTAGTAGAATGTGATAAAAACATCTCTCAACAAAAAAAAGCTTACATAAAAACACAAAACAAAATGAGCAAAGCTTCTACCAGAAAGAAGTTCACGAATTGAATATCTCGAAGTTGTCCATTCATTAGTCCCTGCTAATTTTGGAACGCCTTGAAATGTTGACTTTTCGAGCATTGAAAAATAAAATTTTTAATTAAATCTAAATCGGAGAAGGTCATCAATAAAAGTTTTATTAATTTATAAATTTTGAAACATAAAAAAATTTAAGAGTAAATTTTCGATAAACTCCAATAGGAAAAGTTTTTAGACCAAATTAACATTTTAGGTTGTGTAGACCAAATGGAATTTAGGTATTGTGAAAGATTGCTTTTGTTTTATTTCAAAATGTCAAAAATGGCGAAGAGAGTATTTAAGGCATTTTTGTCTTCAAACATTTTTTTCTTGGAAAGTTTTAGTTCTTTGGGAGAAAGTTGTGTGCTTATAATATTCTTGGGAAGTAGTTTAATTTAATCTTTACCTTGCAGTTTTTTGAATCGTTATTAAAAGCTAAAATTTTTATTTAAAAAATGTCAACTGTCAAGCCGCGTAGTGAAATGAGCCAGGTTTATATTTAAATTTCTTGTTTATAGATCCCCTCTTTAAAGGAAGAATTGGCTGCTAAAGAGCAAGAAGAATTTAACATTGGACCGCTCTCAGTTCTTACACATTCTGTTCGTAACCATGCGCAAGTTTTGATCAACTGCCGTAACAACAAGAAATTGCTTGGGCGAATTAAGGCTTTTGATCGGTAATTTTTCTTTTGTGGAAAATATTCTGGGGAATAATGTCTAAAAGTCACAATAACTTTCTAAACTTCGTTCTTTCAGTCATTGCAATATGGTTCTCGAAGATGTGAAAGAAATGTGGACAGAGCTGCCAAAGAAGGCCAAGGGCAAGAAGAAGTCGAAACCTGTGGCTCGTGACCGTTTCATTCCGAAATTGTTTGTTCGCGGCGACAGCGTCATTTTGGTAGTTTTAAAATTTTTATTTTTTAAACAAAAAAAACTTTTTAGGTTCTCAAAAATCCTTTGGCTCTTCCGGAAAATCCAACACAATAAAAGAAAAAATGGAAAGATTGAATTTCATGATATTTGTTTTTTATTCAAAAACAATTTAAATTTATTTTTGGTTAAAGTTTGGGTTATGTAATTATTGTATTTGTTTAAATTCAATTGATATTTTTTTTGTTAATTAAAATTTTGAAAAAAGATTTTCTTTTTATTCGATTTTTAAAAGTATTTTCTTTTTAATATTTTTTTGCTTGAATTTTATTTCAATTTAGGAAGATTTTTGACAGCTTTTTCTTGGACTCCATCTTACCCCATTCGAGAAGAATTCTTTCTCTTCTTTTTCCATTAGAGTAATTGTACTCAAAATGTTCACTTAAAAACCCCTTCACAGAATTTTATGCAGTGGTAATTTACTCAAATGGGTCAGAAATTAGTGTGGTAGCGGAAAATTGAGCAGGAAAATCAATAAATTTTTGTGTGCTGGTTTTCCCTTCTTTCATTCTCCTTTGCCATTGAAAAAATATTTTTTGTCAAAAAAAATTTAAAAATGAATATTCAAAGTACTTCAAATCCAGAAATTGTAGAAGTTAAAGTTTTTGCCAATGGAAATGTTAAAAAGGAAGTTAATGATGAAGATGGACAATTTTCTCAATTAGTTGATCAAATTTTGGAAAAAAATACTTTTGTTGAATTTAATTTTACTATAAGTTCTAAAGGGAGGGAATTGTTGAGAAGAGATGGTTTTGAATTTCGTTTTGAAGGTGACAGCAAAATTGAAGAAGGTAGGGAAGGATTTTTTTGGTTTAATTGAAGGATTTGTCTCCCTCCTTTGTGGATATTAGGGAAATTTTGTCGAGCTGGCACGAGCCCAGTGCTATTAAAATAGCATTTAGTAACATGGCCAACGTTGGCGTTGGTTCGACTTGCAAAAGCAACGTACTCATTGATCGGGGTTTGCCTTTGCCGACCCTACACATGTTTTATAGAGATGACCTCTGACCGTTTTGTCCCCTTCATTTTCTATAGTTCCCCATAGAAAGTGACACACAAATGAGCTTTTGAAGTCTAACGAAAGAGAATCTTTATAAAAGAGTGAAATTTTCAAAAATTTAAGGCACGGAAATATGGAGATGCGTACATCAACAGCCTTATTGTAAAGGCCGTATTCACGTAAAAAAAGATTTGTTGGTCCATGATGGCCAAAAATTTAAATTGGGAGTAGTAGTTAATGGAGAACACAATCACCCTGCAAAACACGAAGCTGTGAGGGATGCTTTAAATATTTTGAAGGAACAGGCTTGTATGGAAAATCCGCTCCCTGTTAGAGAAGCTGTTAAATTGGCACGGGAAAGTGTTCCTATTGATTTGAGAAAAGCAGGAGAATGTTCTACTGCTACAATGGGGAGGTGCTATAGAAATTATTTAAAGGTTTCTTTTTAGTGGTTTTTTGGGTAGAGGATTTAGGTTATTTTTTGTGACGTTGTTTTTGTTTTATTCGAGCTGGTCTGTAAGGGCTAATCTCTTTCTCAGGTCAGAAAGGAGTTATTCACTTGATTAGTTATCCTATATATTATAATAAAATGCGGACATAACGTCTTTATTAATTAATATTTGCCGTTACTTCGCTAATCTTAAAGCCTCACAGTAAGTTTCCATTGCATCGAATTCTGTGTCTTTAAATTTCCTGATTCTACAAAAATATCTCGTTTGCCTAAAAGAGCACATTCTCTTGATACACATTTTTACTATGATGTGTATCATTTTTACTATGAATTCTATTTTTGCTTAGAAATCATTTCCTAGAAATCTTTTCCTTCCACGTTTTCAACCAATTTTTTGTGTTCTCCCCTCTCCTTTATTTTTTTCTACTTCCCCATTCATCGTCTTAATTTCCCTCTAATTTTTTTAGAAATTTAAAAATCAAGCTATGGATATCAAAATTGATTTGGACTCTGAACCACCTCCATGTAAATCTTCTTGGTGGTATTGGTTTAGTAAACTTGATGAGAATTTGGCTGGATGTAAAAATTGTGATTGGGTAAAGAGCCGAGGAAATGGTTTATCTTTTTAAACAATTTTTAAAATTTTTAATTTTTCAGCTAAATCAACAAGTATTTTGCGCAGTCATTTAAAGTCTCGCCATCCAGATTTATTTGCTGAGAAACTTGAGGCTGATCAGAATTCTTCTAAATGGAAAGCGCCAAAGAGGAAAGCACCACAGGACACTAATTCTTTTGAAATTGCGGTGAAGTCGGTTTCTGAATGTTTGGAGCAAAGCAATCATTCTTTTGTGGCTATTGAGAGTCCTGCGCGTTCACAGGCTTCGCTTTCTGATGTTCATGACTGTAAGAAATTTTATAATATTTTATGAAATATGGGTAAATTTCGACTGAAAGTTTATGATTTTTGTTAAAAATAGTTGTCCAAGAACGGTTTTTTAGAATCTTGGGCTTGGGGTCTGACTAGAATTTCTCATAATTTTCAGCATTTTACATTGTGTTTCTCGATATTGTGAGTCAAATGCTTCCCTAGTTTCTAGGCTTCTATTCAGAATAGAATAAAATACCTCATTTAGAATATTACAAATCATTTTTGGTAAAATTGAACTTTATACCCTCCTTTCTTCCAATTGAAAAAATGGGCCCATTTTTTATATTTTACAATTTTTTTTTAGATAATTCTCTGTCTGATACTAATGAAGAAAAGCCTCCACCTATTTTCGATCAATCAACAGCCAAACAAGAAAATGGCCAATCTAATAATGAAAAAATTACTGATAGTAAGTGAATCTTTTTTTTAAACTAAAAATAAATTTTTTTATTTTTAAAGTGCTCAGAACTTTATTTAATCCAAATATTTATCCTTTGGATGATATTTTGGTTATGTCAGCTACTGGAATTAGCAACAACACAAATAATTCGACTGGACTTTTAACAGATAATCAATTAAACGAAAATCAACAAATTGTTAAATTGTCCCGTATTGAATATTTTTCGGCTGCTCATCGACTCAACAATCCAAAATTGAGTGTTCAAGAAAATAACCAATTATTTGGAAAATGTAATAATCCGAATGGGCATGGACACAATTACAAATTAAAAGTGGTTTTGGAAGGGCCAGTAAATGCTGAAACTGGAATGGTTTGGATATTTATTTTGTTTTAGATGAATATTTTTTAGAGATTAAATTTGGGGGAGATGTTTGTAAGTAAAACCTCGGGTTTTTAGTCCGTGTTAAGATTGTGGGTTAAATTTGTAAATTTTCTTTTTGGATAGCCTGTCTATATTCAAAATTGGGTCCACCTCAGAAGGTCAAATACAAATTTTGGACGGATTAAGAAGGATTTGCTAATTTTGATTACAGAAGGGCGACCCTTCTGGTCGACCTTGGTTGATCTCTTAATTATACTATCTAGTCAAATTATGAAAGGATTTTAACGTAATATATTTTTAAGAAAATTCAAAAAAGCCATTCCAACTTGTTTATTTTTAAAAAATTTTCTGTATAGCGAGGGAGGGGTAGAAGTTGGGTTTGTTTAATCCTTTCCTTCATAAGAATATTTTTTCGTATTTTAATGAAATTTGCTGATCTCACAATTAATTTTTTATGTAGGTTTACAACTTGTCGGATCTCAAACGTGAAATTTCTCAAGTGCTTGAACTTGTTGATCATAAAAATTTGGATAAAGATGTGGCTTATTTTAGGTTTTAATTTTTTTAAATATTCAAAAAAATAAATTTAAGAGACAATAACATTGTTAGTACAACAGAAAATCTCTCCATTTTTCTCTTCGATGAACTTCGTGTTCGAATGGGCAATCCGGAATTATTGAAAAAGGTTGTGGTTGATGAGACTGATAAGAATAGCTTCACTTATTCTGGTTAATTTAAATAATTTTATTTTTTTTGCTAATTTTGACTAAATTTTGATTTTATTTTGCCCGGAATTTTTTTTTCCATTTTGTGATTTTTTGGTTTTCTCGAAAATTGTAACAAAAGAGCTGGATTGGAATTTTTTAATTTTCTTGTTGGGGGTGGGGGTTTTAATCTATTTTAATTTTTGAGGAATTAAAGACCGGCCTGGATTTGGATTCAGACCTTGATTTTCTCTTAAGGTCAGGGGAATTTGGTCAAGGTCTCATTCAAAATCAAGAATTAATATTTTCCAAGATTTTTTTTAAATTTCCTATCTCTAGTAAGGAATAATTAATTCCAATCCAGTTCTAATCCCCCAAAAATAATTTTCAACTAAAACTGATTTTAATATTGTAATTAAATTCCAATTTTTGTTTAAAATATATAAAAAATGATTGATTGATATATATTTACACTTTGATAAAAATTTTCTAATTAATTTAGACTTTGCCTATTTATTGTCTAAATAACAAAAAAATTTTTTTTAGAAAATTTCATAATATTTTTAGAAAAATTTTATATTTAATGACGAAACGAAATTTTTTATAAATAAAAACGTTAAAATATTGGCAGATTAGAAAACACCGTTTTCCCTCATTCAATTTTCAACAATTCAACACACCCAAATTTATTGATAATACAATTCAAAATTAAAACCATCATGTATTTCATAGTCTTGGAGTGTAATGTGGTCCTTGTATGTTGTATACCATTTTTTCAAAACTAGCTTGTCTGCTCTAAAAAATTTAAATAATTTTTAAGAAAAAATTTTTAAATATTACCTAGTTCCAGTTTGTGCAGCAACTAATTTCTTTAAATCTCCAATTGTGTCGGTAGGGTTACATTTAATTCGAACTTTCTTTCCGAGCCTGTCATTTATTGTAATTTCAATCATTTTTATTTTCTAAAAATTAGAACAAATGTGCAGTAAACGGAAACTACAATTTTAAAAAGGAACTTTTGGTAAAATAAAATTTTACCATTTTGACATTCCTCCCTCGATAGCATTACAAAAAATCTAATAAAAATGATCGATTTATTTAATGCGCATTTTTTTTTTATTAATTTTTAATTAGTCAGCTTTTACGATTTTTATTTAATTTTTTTAAACTTTTATTAATCCATTTTAGATTTTAAGAAGTGAATGGTTTTAATTAAACTTCAATTTTATTCGATATATATCAATTTTATCTGAAATTGTTTGAATGTATATGTGGTGTAGTGGTTTAAATCTCAGCTACTCAAGTTCACTTCCGATTGTTTTTTAATGGTTTGTTTTGTCAGTTAAATGCAAATTTGGAGAATTCAAAGACCTTGCGTCAATTTTATTTGCGTAAGCGTAACTCTTCTCCAAAATAATTAATCAGGTCTATTCGTTGCATAATTCATTCTAGAGTTATGTGGCTGCACAGACCTGAGACAAAGAAAATATTTTTCTTTTTTAAAATTATTTTTAATTTTAAGGCCGTGCGAGTGAACTGCCTGAAATTTTAAAATTGAAGACAATATTTGAAACAACCTTTTTCATTATAAATTTAATATTTTTGACTGTTTTTTCGTCGTTTTACGATTTATATATTTCTCTAACTTTGACTATTATTTTCAATTTTATTTAGAATTTTAACCTAGTTGATGGGCCAATCCGTTTCTCGGCTCTTTTCCCTTCTTAATACCTACTTACCAGCAAATCTACCTCTAATAGGAAGACAACAACGACGAAATGTTAACAATCCTGGAGTTGGTGGTGTAATTGTTGATGAACACATTGGCGATGAATTTAGTGGTAAAGGATGCACAAGTCAAGGAGGGGGAAATACTAGCTTCTTTGGCAATCATTTTCTAATGGGCGGGGAATTGTACGACACATCAAAGCAAGAAGTCTTTCTTTTTGGTGCTCAACAGGATCTTGAACTACTCGATGGTAGACCTGTAAAGGTTTGTATTTTTAATTTATTGTTAGTGGTTTGGTCCTGTCCGCATTTTTGTAGAGGAACTTTAAGTTTTTGGTTAGCCTAGGAACTAATAATAAGGAAATGTTTGACCGCCATTTTTTTGGTTTGGCCATTTATACTCTTGAAAGATTGACACAAAACAAAGTTTTTAGTTTGTCCATTAACTAAAATTTTTGACTACCCTGTTTTTTTGGCTTGCGCTCCCGGTTACATCTCCATTCTATTATTAACAATTCCCCTCTTCAACTTTACATCCATCTTTCGCGTCTAAAAATTACACCATTAAATAATATTTTTTTAGTTTCCTCATTGCCCAAAAGGTGTGACTGACTCTGTTAGTGTTCTAAATGCTTTGATTAATGTCCGCAGAGATTCTGTCAAATTTACAAAGTATTTTCTTTCAATTTTTATTTTTCTACTCATTTTTAATTTTAAAGAGTTGGAAGGTCAGGAGGTGGATATTCTTCAGGATTTTATCGTTTAGAATTTACTTTTGACTGTGATGTCCCTTGTTATGTACAAATTCATTTTTGTTCAAGAGAAGTTGTTGACGATTTTCAACAAATTCAGTAAATTCTTTTAAATTTTCTAAACCCTCCAATTTATTCAATTTTAGGTTTTTCTGTCGCCCAAATCAAAGGATTGACCCTTCAGAACGTTATCATTTCCCTGTTGGTTCAAATCAACAATTTAACCATTTTATATTTAAACCTCATCGTTATGATTTAAAATATATGCATTGGGATGGAACTTCTGCTTATTTTCCTGTTTTGATTGAAATGCGTTCTGTTTCTGATAAATTTCAAGAACAGGTTTTTTTTTAATTTTTGCTTAGGGTTTTGGCTAAAACCGAACACCATTCAAAATTTTTAAGGCATTTCTAGAACTCGACCTGGCAACTCTTCGGATGAGCTCCCCTTTTTGCAAGGGAAACAAAAAGAGGGGAGGGGGCGTCATCCGAAGAATTACCCCCGACCTTGTTGGTCCTCTTAAAAAACCCTTAAATCATAACCCAAAATTCGAAATTTAAAGTTATTTTTAAAGTTTCTACTATTTTAGACAACATTTGTACTTTTAGCCTTGGATCACTGTTTATAAATTCCTTTTTTAGGTCCAATCAACATTATGCTCAATAGAACGCTCAACAGATCAATCAGCCGCATTAATTCTCAAACCTCTAAAACAAAAATTATTTGCGAATGGAATTGTTTATTTACTTCAAGAAATTTTTGGAATTGAAAATAAAGAAAATGGTGAAAATAGTTTAATGGCTGAAGAAAATGGGGCAGAATGTATTATTTGTATGGTATGAAAAAATTAAATTTTTTTTTGATTTTATTAAAAAATTTTTCTAAATTAACAGGCAAATCCACGTGATACAATGATTTTGCCTTGTCGACATTTATGTATTTGTAATGGATGTGCAGAGACTTTAAGATATAAAGTTGGGAATTTTAATAATTTTTATTTTTATTTTCTCTCAATTTCAGTTAAATAATTGCCCAATTTGTCGTTCACCCTTCAAAGCTCTTTTAAAAATAAGAGCGATGCGGAGCAGTCTAATAGGACTTGGTTCTGATGGAATGTCTTCTACAATGAGAATTCGGTTAAAATTTTTTATAAAAAAATTTAATTTTAAAGAAATAATTTTAGTCTTAATTATTGTCTGTCCAAAACCCAATAATCATTTTAGTAATTTAAATTCCCATTTTCATTTAAAAAATTAAAGTAAAACGGGAAAACGGGGTTTTTAGACTAACCGAGAAGTTTGCACTATCCAAGACCTAACCTTGGTATTTTGGCAAGCATTAAACAAATTTTTAGTGGAAAATCTTGTTAGTCTTCACCAGAGTTGGGTCGGAATTCTGACTTTTGACTTTAGAGCCAGTTCCGATTTCCGGCTCTTCCGATTTCCGACACCTCTTACTGTTCCAACCCACCTCTGGTCTTCACCCAAAAATCCCCAAAAATTTTTAACTAATTAAAAAAAATTTTTCCCTTTTAAGACGTGAACCTTTAACTCTCTTTGAAGCAATTAATGGTCCTTTACAATCAACAAATACAGATATCTCTTCATTTATTTCTCCTCCTGCCCAGCAAATTTCAACAAAAGCTTCATTAATTGGAAATAAAGGGGATGTAATAACTACAAAAACAAATTTAGAAACAAAAAATTCAAAATTATTAACTTGTGGAGGGGGAGGAGGGTCTTTAAAAGTAAACCAAATTTCTGGTCAAAGAATGGCACCAAATAGAAATTTAATAAATAGTGGAAAGTCTTTGGGACAAATTGAATTAAATATTGAACATATTGAATTGGAAAATTTGGAAAAGGCTAAAAAGAAGGTAAATGATAATTATAGATTTTTAAGGAAAGTTTTTAGAGGAAATGGAGTAATCTTTAGGAAAGGATTTTTTGAAAACATAGGTATGAGAAAATTTCTTTTTTTGTTGGCACAAGTTGTAGATTCTCTTGTGTTGCTAAAAATTGAAAATTTTTTTTATTATTTATCTGGGCCATATCATATGGACTCGGTTACTTGACCATGGTCAAATCATTAACTGCAAGGACATAGTTAGCCTTACGATCGTCACCTATAAAACCGACGGTTGGTGGTATTTAACCAGCAACCACGTTCTTATGATACGGGCCTGGGAAAGAAAATGGCATGATTTCCCCCTCCCCCTCTTATCTTTTAATCAAAAAAAACTAATTTTATTTTTTAAAGTATTCACATGGAAGTAGCAACAGTTTTATTCAATATTCACCAGGCTCTAGTTCAATTATGCGACGTACTTCACATTCTCCAAGTACTGCTAGACGTTCTGTTTTACGAAAACCTTCACCACTTTTATCCCCAAAAGATTCCTCTTCTTCAACTAATAAAAAAGAAGAAAATTTATTAGAAAAAAATAAACTTTTATTAGCTAGTACTCCAAATTTAACAATAAAAATGGAAAATGAAGAAGAAAAAAATTGTTTTAATAATGTGAATGAACAAAAACAAAGAAACAACAAAAATGAAGATAAAAATGGACATAAAAAACAATTATCAGAACCGTGTACTTCTACTACTTTAACTGACAATTAAATTAAATATTTTGTGAAATTAACTAACAATAAGAAGAATACTTAAAAACTGCCAATTAATTTTTAGGGGAATTAGAAATGTAGAAAATTTATATTTAAAATTAATTTACTCAGAAATTAGAGGTTTAATATAGGAATAACCATTTATTGATAGAAATGAAACATTTCTTGATAACTTTCTAAGTATTTGAAATCTATATTAAATGATTTTCTGAGTGAGTTATAATTCTCTCACTTATCACACTTCCAATATATCACAAAATTAACTAACTCCATAAGAAAAAATTTTTTTTGTTATTTCAAAATGTGTGTTAAGTGAAAGATTCAAATGTATATTTGTTTCTCGTATATTGTCATCGGTATCACGACTTTTGCGCCGAGAACATTTGCGCCGCGACTTTTGCGCCGGGCGACTTATGCGCCGCGACATTTGCGCCGCCAATGTTTAAAAAATCCGGATCCGAAAAAGGCGGGATATCCTAACTTTTCAGTTCGGATATCGGATCCGGATATCCGAAGATTTCTAACTATCCGACAAATCTACTATAGTGATTTCCGGCTGAAGTTATTCATTTATTTTTAATGATAGTGGCGGCGCAAAAGTCGATCGGCGCAAATGTTCTCGGCGCAAAAGTCACGGAACCTTGTCATCTAACCTTATTAAGTTTGTTTTTCCTTTTAAGAAATTAAAATCTCATTTTAGAAATTTTCCAACTTTATTTGCATTATCTAATTAGTTTTAAATTTTTTTTGGAAGGGGATTTTTTTATTTTTTAGAAGTATATCGTGTTGTGATTTAAACGAAAATATTTTTGCTTTTAAAAAGATTTTGAATATTTTTGGAAAACAAAAAATATTTTCGTCCAAGTGCTCTTTCTCCACCAAATTTTGCATTTAATTTTCTTTTTTTGTATTTTTTTGTGAAAGGCGATAGAATTGTATTTATAATTAACACATAATATTGTAAAATAAATTGAAGGGTTTAAAAATTAAAATAAATTAAAAAAAGATTTTTTATAGGCAAAAAATAAATAAATAGGTAAATGTACAGAAAATTTTTAAGTATAAATCAGAAGATCTTTAATATATTTTTTTTAAAATAAATTCCTTCCTTCACCAAAAAATATTGTCTTTTTCACAACAAAATACAAGCACATGCCACTTGAGCGGCGGCATAACACACCGGAAAAACAGGACCAGTTGCACCACAAGCAGCAGCAGCCGCTGCCTGACAAGCTGGATAGGCTACAGGGCCAGCCAAAACAACTGCACAAGCGGCCTGAAAATTTAGAAAAATTTTTAATAGAGAATTTAAATTGCCTGAAACGCCGCATAGCAGGGACCAAAAAAGAAAAGAGTAGGAACACAAGCAGCGGCCGCGGCAGCTTGACAAGCCGCATAACAGGCCAAACCGCCTCCTGCTGAGTTGAATAAAAATGATGAGGCAAATAAAAAGAATAAAATAAATTTAATTTGGAAGAACATTTTTAATAAAAAAATTTGGCTGTTGATAATTAAGATTTTTTTTAGATTTTTTGTTCCTTAAAAGGAATAATGTAAAATTTAAGGCAATAATTCCACCACAAAATTAAGGGATTCTATCAATCAAAAAATAGAAATTATTGATAACGTCTGAAATTTTGCTTGTGAAGTTTGCATGTTTTTACAAGCATTTAGGGAACGTTTATTATAAGAAAAGGTAGCGGGGAATTAATCATGCCCTTAGTCAACAAAGGAAAATATTGGAACATTTTTTAGTTGCATTTATCAATAAATAAAAAAACTAAGTGTTAGGTCAGTGTGTACTGGACTGAATTAGTTGTTTTTATATAAGAATGAAGAAGAGGGAGGAGGGGCTATCTATTAGAATGTCAACTGTTTTTGTTTACAATTTTATAAAATGTCAATCTTCTGCGATTCGTGTGAAAGTATTAACTTTAGGGAATGTTTGGGGTACTTATTTTTGAATTTTATTAATTTTATTTTCTACCAATTTTTGCTCTATTAAATCAAAAAAGTAGTCATTTTCAACTCGTTCATTCACAGGCTGAAAGCCAAAAAAAGGATTACATATTAAATTTTAAGAGTTTTTTATAAAAGAGTATTAAAGCAAATTGTTTATAATTTAAATATGAAAATCAAATACCGTATTTTCTCGATTAATTCCCCTGGGGAATTATTTTTCCAACCCTTTCTTGGCATGGGGAATTAACCGAGGGAGGGGAATTAATCGAGTTTTGGCATTTGAACGTGCCAAAGCTCGAATAATTAATCATACCTTAGTCAATAAAGGATATTTGGGGGTGGGGAATTATTGTTTCAACCCAATTCTAGCCTGGGGAATTATTCGAGGGTAATTATTCGAGGGAGGGGAATTAGTCAAGAAAATACAGTATTATACATAGGTTTCTGTTTTAATTAGGATCGTTGACATTGGTTATTAACCGCTACCTTCATTTTTAATCCAAAATTAAAAAGTCAGTCTTCGTCTTTGAGTTTTAGTTAAATATCAGTTTTATTTTGGGGAAATTTTTCTAAAAATCATTAATTTAAAAAAAATTCGTTTTTAAATTTCATTAATACGGTTAATCTTTGGCAAAAAATATCAAAATTTTCAATTTTTTCTTTCAAATAACCAGTTGCTAGTTTAAAGTCAAATTAATCCCTTTTATTGTAAATCCTCTTCTTTATTCATTTTCCCAAAAAAATACAAGCACATGCCGCCTCCGCAGCAGCATAACAAAGTGGGTAGACAGGACCTGTAGCAGTGCACTCTGCTGTAGCTGCTGATAGACATGCTTCATAACTTGCTGGACCAGTTAAAATGACTTCACAAGCGGCCTGAAAATTTCAAAAAAATTTGAATTGCCATCTGTAGCAAGGCAGTGATGGGAAAGTCCCAGTTCCAGAAATGGAACCGGTTCCAAAGAAATTTTGGAACTTTCCCTTCACTAGTCACAAGTTATCCGAAACGCGATACCCTAAATCCGAACTATTTTTGACCCGAAACCCGATCCGAGAAAATTTTCAAAAAACCCTCCCAACCAGGGCTGTGCGTCATGGCGTTTGGCGTTTTGCGTTTTGGCGTTAATTTTGGCCGATTTTTGGCGTTTTGCGTTTGGCGTGATTTTCCGATTTTGGCGCGCCAAACGCCAAAAATATACACCCCTAATGATGGAATTTTTTTTAAATAAATGGAGAAAGGGATGATCGAAAAAGGAACTTTTTCTGCGTACAGTCATCCGAAATTCTCAAAATTTTCGCCTGCGGCGCAAAAAAATGAAGAAATCTACTGCTGGGACTTCCAAATTTATAAAATTTTCGCCTGCGGCGCTTAAAGGAGGAAGCCCCTATCTTAAACTAATAGATCCCTTTATATCCAAAGGGATCTGTCAGTCCCATTATCCCTTTATATCCAACTTAATCTCAAGGAGTTCTATGAATTTCTTATTTTTTTAATTTTTTAAAGGATGAATTTCGGCTTCTTTGCCTCCAAAATTTTTAAAAATTTCGCTCCGGCGGTAAAAAAAGGATGAATCCTGGCTTCTGGGAATCTTGAAAATTCAAAAAATTTCGCCTGCGGCGCTAAAATGAGATGAACAGTAGTTTTTAAGTCTTTATAGACTCTAAAAATTTTGGCGTTTGGCGTTTGGCGTTTTGGCGTTGATTTTGGCCGATTTTTGGCGTTTGGCGTTTGGCGTGTTTTTAAAATTTAAAAAATTGGCGTTTGGCGTTTGGCGCGCCACGCGAAAATTTTGGCGCACAGCCCTGCTCCCAACTTCTTTCTTAACCCGTGACATCCCTGGTCTGTATTAATTAACAGCCCAACTTTCACTTAACGGGAGACTGTTAAAATATGCTTTATGTTCTGCCCCCTTTCCTCCCTTCCAAAATTCCTATTCACCGTGGACAAAATTTTTTTAAAATATTTACATAAAAAGCAACATAACACGGGCCAAAATAAAAATAAGTTTGAGAACAAGCAACTGTAGCTGCAGCTTGACAAGTTGCAAAACACATAAACCCACATCCAGCCGAATTGAATAAAAATGATGAAGCGATTAATTGGAAGAAAATAAATTTAATTTGGAAGAACATTTTTATAAGAATTGGTTGCTGATGTTAACTAAGGCGATACAGGCAATCTCTCGTTATATCTCACTAATTTTCTCTAAAATTTAATTGAGACTATTCAAGGTTCTATTTAATACGGGGTCAAACCAAAAAACCTACACCCTAAAGACCTAGTGACCCAGAAGGCCTACAACTTTTGAAAGCGAATATCAAAAGAAAATATCTAATGATTTGGAGGGAATAAGGGGATATCGATGGATTTAGTGTGATTGAAGGGGATAGAGACACTAGAGTTATGGTGTACACACAAAATCAAAATACGGCACCATTTTAAGACATAAAAGTTTAATTAATTAAAGAAAAATTGAATATAAGGAGAAGAATAAGCTAGAACCTTATAGAGACAAATAAGGCGGGATATGATTAGAAATATAAGTATTTAAATAATGAGGGGAAATAGCGGTTAGGTAAAAAGGAATTTTTGAATTAATCGGTGAAGTAAAAAAGAAAAAAATGGGAAAATTGTTTTAGGGAAAATAAGGTAATAATTTAATAAATATTATGAATTGGAGGCAAATTTTTTTTAATGCAGAATCTACATATTTATTAAATTTTTTTTTGGTCCCGGGTCGGAACCGAAGGACCGGTACCGGAACCATCAAATTCTGGAACTTCCGGTTCCTACCGGAAGTTCCGGCGAAGCTCTAATACCTACCTAGTAATTAATATTATTAATTTTCTATCTCCTCTAAATCCATTTTCTCGAATTTAATTATTAAATTTCTGAGTTATATAACAAAAAAAAATTTATTTTTACAACTTTATTTATTTAGAAATTTACAAAAGTAACTTTTTCTTGCATATAAATACAAAGCTTTTTAAAATTAAAAAATCATTAAATAATTAAAAGAAATCAGTGAATGTGTGTAAATATTTCAGGAACTTTAAGTCCACTATGTATTGTAATTGTTGATTTACAATTGACACTAAAGGCTGGACAGTATAGACCTCGAGGCATGTTTCTGGAATTAAAACTTCATTAAAAAATTTTTTTATCAGATATTATTTAGATAGACCCTTTTAAATATCCAAATTATCTCATTAATAACTTTATGAAGGGTTCTAACAAATAAGGGTTCTTAAGGGTTCTAATTTTAAGGGTTCTTCTGCTATATACGTACAAGGGAACGAGTCGTCCTGATACCCGAAAATCGGGAATTTCATTTTCATGTCGTCTCGTTCCCTCTTCCTTGCTCTTCCTCGTTCCCTTCCCTGCTTCTCTTTCCTTACTCCCTGCTCTTCTTCCCTCCTAACTCGTTCCCCGTCATTGAGACAATTAGTAGCTCTCCGATTCTAAATGCCCTAATGATTATTCGCAAAACAAAAATTCTTTTCTTCGAGGCAAATACTAAATTAAAAGGCAAAACCAATTAGAATCCACTGCCTCAGATCATTAAAAATGTTCAGAAAATGACTGGGCCAAAAATGTCGTTTTACAAAAAATTTCCAATTTTCCTAGAATTTCTCTTTCAAATTTTTAAACCTACTTAAAAGCATCTATACAAATAGGCCTTTCATTTATTGCAAAACTAAGAGTTCCCCTATCACAGTCCATTAAAACTCCAATTAAGGAGTCACACACATTAACACCTCCACTCATTCTTCCATGGTGTGTATCGTTATGGAAAAACCTTTAAAAAATTTTCAAAAAATTTCAAAAAATTTTTCTTTCTACCAAGACCGTTCTCCATCTACATACATACTCCAACCATGTAAATCTTTACCTAAAAGAATATTTTTAAAAATTAATTTTTTAACCAAATAGCATCTCAATTACCAAGCATTGCATGTCTATTGACCGATGGTTGGGCTACTCCAATAACCTTTTGTTTTAAAAATTATTAGATTTTCAAATAAAAAATACAAACAATATCAGCATTTCCATCATATCTGTCCACACTAACCTCCCAATAATGAACTCCTTTTGAGAATGTTACTGTACCCAAAATTGTTCGATATTCCATACTCTAGGAGGGGAAAATTAAAAATTTTTAATTTTCGAAAGGTTGAGAGACTAAAAGAGAGAAGGCTTTGAATAGTATGGAGGGAATTTGTTAATCTAAAAATCAGAAGAGACAAGGTATTGTTCAAAAAGCTCAAAAATTTTCGAGATGACGATCCTCAGACTTAAAATTGAGCTAATTTATTATTAATTAGAAATAGGTAGCTTTCTTCGTTAAAAATATCTTTTAAAATAAAATTAAAGAATTACCGTTCCAGTAACTGTACAGCAATTATTAGATAACAACAATTCTGAATTAACTATTCCCCCAACACTTTGTGAACGTATTTCCCTCATAGTTTGTTGTTGTTCATTAGAATTTTCAGTTGAATTATCCTCACTAAGTTGAAACCAGGCAACTAGAAATTATTATTTTTATTAAAATTAGTATCTAATAGACTCCACAATATTAAATACAACTTCAAAGTGTGCGTCTATTAGAGAGTGTCTATCTATTAGAGTAAATAGGATATACTATTTAGGATATATCAGAACCTCTTCATTAGTGCTTCACTGGAACCGAAATTTCGACCGGACCAGAACCGGAACTTTTCTTAGTTCCGGCACGGAACCTTAAAAACACCGGAGCTTTCCGGAACCGGAACTTCCGGTGACTTTATATCCAACAGAACCTTTTTATTATTTTCATCAACCTTTCATCTTTATCCCGCATTCTCAAATATCCCACTCTCTAAATATTGCCTGAGGCAATTTCCGGGAAAAAACACTCCAAGACTTCACCTGGAGCAGTCTGCAAACAAATTTGTTCACTATAAGCACTCTCCCCTGCCGCATTAAAAGCTTTTAATCTCGCATTGTAAAAGGTATTGAAATGTAGACCATCAACAGAACAAGCATATTCTTGTCCACAATAAACTTCCTTTTTTTTTAATTTTTTGAAAAATTTTTTAAACAAAAAATACTTCAAAATTATCATCACCAGAGTCTAATTCAAGAACAGAACCTTCAATGGAAGCCCCATTTGGCTGACAAACCCAACTTAGGGTGACAGAATTATTTTCAGCAGAACATTCTTCAGCAAGAAATTGTGGGGGTAAAGGGGCTGAGAAAAGAGAAAATTAAAATTTTTTTGAAATTTTAAAGTGTAAGATAAAGGGCTAAATCTAACAACAAAACAAAAAAAACTCGAAAAAACTCGACTAAACACAGAAAAACACAAATATACCGCCATAAACTTCACTTTTAGATACACCTAAATTAATTAGAAGATGAGGGGTTGTCTAAGGGATACTTCCCATAACCCCTTCATTTTAAGGTAGGATTTTCTAGCTTCGAAAGGGTTATCTAAAAGTGAAGGAAGGTTCGATTGTTAATTAACTACACAAGACTTTTTTCATTCCACTAACCTTTATTGTTTGTTTCTTTACTGGTTTTATCTAATTTTAAAAAAATTTCAGAATTTTTTTCTTTATTAGTAGGAATCTGTATTCTTATTATTTAATAATTTCCATACTTAAATACCAGGAATGGACTCTCTTACGCTTTCCGAAAAGTCTGTTTATTTTTAAAATGCGACAGGACCATTCCTATGTCAACTAACGATATATGGAATTCTAACCCAGAAATTCGCTTTTTCCTCACCTTTAAGTTGCAAAAACTCCAATTGTTCTATAGCTGTTTTAACACTTAAAATATCCAAATCAAGTTGGAAATGTTCGTCAACTTCTGGACAATTTGTTTTTACTTCTCTATGCCAAAGAAATTCTTGATCAGTTACTCTATTTGCTAAGGCTGAGCCAACCTAAATAAATAAATATTTTTTAATTTTGAATTTTTGGCTCTATTTGGAAGAATAAAAAATTTATTTCAGATTTTTAAGATTTTGATTTTTTAATAAATTATTTCTTGTACTTAAACTCGAAATGTTATTTTAACAAAATTTATTTTTGCACAGGACAGGTGTTGTAGGCCAGCAATGTTATTCTTAGCCTTACAACTAGGGTTGGGTTTTTCGGACTGGCCGACACATTCGAGTTATTTTTATTGGATCAGACCGACCGAATCTTTTTCGGATCTACTATACAAATAATACATTCTAATAATACAAGCAAGTAATTAAGAGTAAGGTTGGCGGATCCAGATATCCGAAGATTTCCAACTATCCGCCAACCTTAACTAAGGGCCCTACCACTTCTCATACCAAAAAGAACCACAAATTTAAAAAGAACCCTTCCTTCCACATAAAAGCTATTTAACAAGAAATTTGCCTGTAAATAATCCAGAGGTTCCGGCTCTTTTAATATTTCAATACAAAATTGAATCAAAGCCCTTCCTTTCCCTAATTGTGCCGTTGACCGTCCAATTTGTTTTAAAAGTTGTAATTTTCTTCTTTCCTTTTCATTTTTAATATAATTAATTAATTGCTGTCTTCTTAAACGTAATAATTCTTCTAATTGGTCTAATTGACTTTCAACTCCACGTTGAAATTCACAACAATTCTCCTTTGAAAAAATAAAATTTTAAATAAACAGGATAATTTTTGGAATAAAAAAGTAGTCTCGGTCCCCAATTCTTTTTTATTTATCCTCAACAATTTTAAGAAAAATTTCCTGGAAAAGCTGCGATTTTCAACTTTCGAAGTTTTTTTCGTTTCTATTTTTGAAGATAATATGTTGTTTCGAAACAGTTTTGGTTTGCCAATAGTGGTCAATTTATAAGAAAAATGAAAAAAAGGTTTGATCCTGTTTAATAAAGTGGAAAAAGTAATTCAAAAGGGTCCTTTCTTAAATTTAGAGCCTTTAGTTTATTTATAATATCCCTAATCCCAATTTTCAATGGAAACAATACAAGAGTTCTAATAATAATTTTATTTATCTACATCAATTCGTGTTTGTAACCGTTTAAGTCCACCAATCTCTTCAGTAGCCTGTCGTACTTTAGCACCGAGAAGCTGGAGTGAATGAGATAATTCTGTCTAAAAATTTTATATTTGAACCAAAATTAATTCGAGAATTTTGATTTTTTGATATCTTATAGTGTATTTAATTCTCTATCTAAAGGTACCAAGAACATGAAGAAGTGACCCTCCCTTAATGAGTTATAGGGTCGAGACTGAACTGCTCCGGTAATATTTATATATTAAAAATACTCTAGAAAATTTTAAAATCCACATTAAATCTATTAATTTATTCTCATTCGAACAAAGCTTTAAATCAATCACTCATTTTCTTAATTGTCCATCCCATTTATTTTACAAATTTTGTAAAAAAACTTTAAAATATTTTTCCCTCCCATTTATTAAATTTACTCAAACGAAAATTTATTTAAAGAGAAAATCTTGTTGAGATTTTTAAATTGCCTTGGGGGATAAATTGGCCTAGAATATTCGCTTTAGTGCGCGCAATACTGTTGAAAATAAAAGAAATTTATTTTTAAAGTTTTTCCCTAAGGACTTGAAAATTTAAAATATTTAAAAAGAATTGTTGAGTGTTCGTTTAAAAATAAAAGGAATTATAATTAAATAAAGAATGTGTTGGAAATAAATTTAAATTATAATTGGGAAGAGTAAGGGAAGCACGCAACCGAAAAAAATTTTCCGCACCCACAATCCGTAAGTCAAAAAACACGCAATTTTACGCAATCCGCAACTGCATATAGCCCTGAAGGGAAGAGTTTACAAAAAAATTTTAAATTAATTTTCCTCCAAATCTTTGGAAATATAGAAATCCGGGAAATAGTAGAAGGTAAAGTCCGCAAAAAAATGATCACAGAAAAAGCTCCTAATTCTTCATTTTTTAAATAATTTTTTTTCATAATTTCTAGTCCCCTTAAAAGAAAAATTAATTAAATTCAATTTTATTTATTTAAAATCAGAATTTTTATCAGAAATTAAAATCAAAAGGAAAACTTTAAACACTTCACCTATTTAATACGCTTTTTATTCCCAACTTGACTCAAAACTTGTTCAAAGTTTTAACAAAAAAATTTTTTTTTCAAAAACCAAATTTCCCCTTTCCAATTTAACACAAAAATTTTCAACAACAAAAACTCAAAAAAATTAATAAATACATATATTCCTCTACTCAATTTCTTTTTACATTTTTAATGCCGTAAGTGATTTAACTATTCATTTTCTTATTTTCTCCTTTATTTCCAACAACATTTCCCCCCACAAATTGCTTTTTCTCTTTCATTTTTCTTGCCATTTTGGGTGGTCTTTTTATTTCTTTTTCTTCGAAATTTCAAAATCCTTGGCCTATTTCTAACATTTTTCAACATTTTTATTCCCCCCATAAAAACCAAATTTGGAAGTAAGCCAATAATGATGATGAAGAGTTGGAAATATTTTTGGAAATGAAGAAAGAGAGGAAAGTGGTGAAAATTAGAAAAAAAAGATTGTGGGGGGGGGGGGGGGGGGAGAGAGAGGGGTAATGTCAAAATATAGACTAAAAAATATATATACATCCATCATTCATCAATCATTTTGCGCGAGATTAGAAAGGTTATTATTATTATTTTGTTGGAAGGCTTAAAGACCTGCTGGTTTTTGGGTAATTCTTTGCCTTTTTTGATGAATGGATTAATAGAAATGTGTGAATTAAAAAATTATTTTTATATAACGGAAATAAAATAGAAATAGAGTTAGAAAGTCGGATACAATTTCCACTAGTGTTAGACACGGTTCGGTACTACTTAACAGTACTATCGTCAGTACCGGACCGGTACTTTTCGTTATTGCCAGTACCGGACTGGAAAATCCATTTGCCTAACACAAGTTTCCACCCCCATCGATTATCACAACCCGTCTCTAATGCTACGGTTACATAAAAATCGCGCGCGTCTTGCGACAGAAAAGATAATGTAAAAAGAGGAGAGAAAAGAGGAAAAAATTTTTGTCTCTTTTTTCTAGTGGTTACATAAAAAGCGTCTTCCGCCGGCGTCTTGTCGCCGGCGACACTTTTTTTAATTCAAACATGTTTGAATTTTTGGCGACAACTTTTAGCGTCTTGATCATTTCTCGGCCAATTCTGATCTAATTTTCAAAATTTAAAAAGATTCTGAAAGTTCTTTTTATTCTCTATCGATCAATATAAATTTTATATTTTTAAAGTTAAATCTTATGGGTTAAAATTGGTTTTGAAAAAGGTATACTTTTTGCAAAAAATATTCTTTTTTTTTCGATATTTTTGAGATTCTCAGTATCATAACTTTTTTATCAATCGGTCAAAAATTCTGATTTTTTGATATGTTGTAGAGCTTTTGATTCTCTATCAAATGATACCAAAAACATGAAAAAATGACCATTTCTTGATAAGTAGGGCTCGTCCCATATAGTTAGGGACAAAAAATTTGGGGAAAATCGAGGCTTTAAGACTTTTTGAGACTAATAAACATGACTAAGTTGACGATCAGTGATGGGAAGGTTCCAAAATTTCTCTGGAACTAGTTCCAGTTCCAGAACTAGGTTTTTTATTTTTGTAGTTCCAGTTTCGGAACTCCATTTTTAAAATTCCTTAGTTCCAGTTCTAGAACTTGTTCCAAGTTAGTTCCAAGACAGGACTTGTTCCAAGACAGCTCATTTTTAGAGCATTTTTTCTTTAAAAAATTTTTTCCTAAAACCCGTACCCCGACCCGAACCCCGAGCATATTTTGCTCCCCCGACCCGAACCCCGCCCCGAAACAATTCGAAAACCCCGTACCCCGACATACCCGCCCCCGAGCGTTCGGGGTCAAACCCTAGTTTTACTATAAAACTCAGAAGTTTTATTACTGCTAAGCTAAAAAGGTCAAATTTTGATTAACATCGATGTCAAACAATAAAAATTTCCGGTACATTCAGGTCCTAATAGTTTGTGGTATCGAGTAAATTGGGCATTTTTTCTAAAATATATTGAAAATATCTCGTGTCTTGTGGCAAAATACGAGATACGAGACCTCTAAAAAACACGAGATTTCACGAGATACGAGAGGAGCGCCACCCCTGATCGGTACCATGGCAGAATAAAATGATTTGATTTTATAAATTTTATTTTAGTATGATAAATATTTAAAAAAATTTTTAATCGGATTTAGTGGTTACATAAAATCGCGCGCGTCTTGAGACAGACGCTCGGCGACAAGACGCGCGCGACAGTCGCTAGTGGCGTGGTTACATAAAATCAGCGTTTGTCGCTTTGCGACAGTCGCTTTTGCGGAAGACGCCGATTTTATGTAACCACACCACTAGCGACTGTCGCGCGCGTCTTGTCGCCGAGCGTCTGTCTCAAGACGCGCGCGATTTTTATGTAACCGTAGCATTAGTGTTATTCTTAGTCTTATTCTAGTGCTCCACATATTCGGCATTGGCCATATTCCTATTGTTCGCTACTATTGTATTTAGTATTGTAGATAAAGCACAGTTTGTTAGTTACTGTCTTATCTTGTGTTTATTCTTGTTAGTACGTCGACATACAAGTCACGTACATAACACACCTCCGCAGCAGCATAACAAAGTGGGTAGACAGGACCTGTAGCAGTGCACTCTGCTGTAGCTGCTGATAAACATGCTTCATAACTTAATGGACCAGTTAAAATGACTTCACAAGCGGCCTGAAAATTTCAAAAAATTTCGGGTTATCCGAAATACGATGCCCTAAACCGGTGCGACCCAAAACACGATCCGAGAAATTTTCAAAAACCCACCACACTTTTTCTCAACCCTTGACAGTTAATAGCCCAACTTTCACTTAACGGTAAAAATACTTTTTATGTTCTGCCCCTTTCCTCCTTCCAAAATTCCTATTCACTCCACTAAATTTTTCTAAATATTTACATAAAAAGCAACATAACACGGGCCGAAATAAAAATAAGTTTGAGAACAAGCAACTGTAGCAGCAGCTTGACAAGTTGCAAAGCACATAAACCCACATCCAGCCGAGTTGAATAAAAATGATGAAGCGATTAAAAAGAAGAAAATAAATTTAATTTGGAAGAACATTTTTATGTTAATACAGGCGATACAGTCTATCGTTATATCACACTAATTTTCTCTAAAATTTAATTGAGGCATATATTTAAGGTTCTATTTAAGATGGAATCAACCCAAAAAACCTACACACTAAAGACCTATTGACCTAGAAGACCTCCATATTTTGAAAGCGAATATCAAAAGAAAATATCTAGGGATTTGGAGGGAATAAAGGGATATCGATGGATTTAGTGTGATTGAAGGGGATAATCTCTACCAACTCAGAGTTATGGTATACACACAAAATCAAAATACGGCACCCTTTTTAAGACATAAAAGTTTATTTTAATTAAATAAAGATAAGTTCAGCATAAGGTCAAGAATAAGAATAAGCTAGAACCTTATATATAGACAAATAAGGCGGGATAAGATTAGAAATATAAGTACATATTTAAATAATGAGGTGGAATGGCGGTTAGGTTAAAAGGAATTTTTGAATTAATCGGTGAAGTAAAAAAGAAGAAAATGGGAAAATTGTTTTAGGGAAAATAAGGTAATAATTTAATAAATATTTGGAATTGGAGGCAAGTTTTTTTCAAATGCAGAATCTACATATTGATTAAAATTTTTTTTGGTCCCGGCCCGGAACCGGAACTGAAAGACCGGGAACGGAACCAAAAAATCCTGGAACTTCCGGACTACCTGAACCGGAACTCCCGGCGAAGCTCTAATACCTACCTAGTAATTAATATTATTAATTTTCTATCTCCTCTAAATTAATTTTCTCGAATTTAATTATTGAATTCCAGAGTTATGTATATAACAAAAAAATTTATTTTTACAACTTTATTTATTTAGAATTTTACAAAAGTAACTTTTTCTTGCATATAAATACAAAGCTTTTTAAAATTAAAAAAATCATTTAATAATTAAAATAAATCAGTGAATGTGTGTAAATATTTCTGGAACTTTAAGTCCACTATGTATTGTAATTGTTGATTTACAGTTGACACTAAAGGCTGGACAGTATAGACCTCGAGGCATGTTTCTGGAATTAAAAATTCTCATAATTTTTAAGTAAATATTTTCGAAGTAGCCCTTCTTAGATATTCAAATTTATATATATATCTCCAATTAAAGGACTATTAGAACCCGCTCCCTTAGGTCATCAAAAATTATCAGAAAATAACTGACTCAAGGATAATCTAGAAAATTTAAGAGATTTTCAATTTTCCAAAGATCTTGTCTAATATCTCAGAAGATCCCCGCAGTAGTTAGTCCAACCCCCGTGTCGCTGGGGGCAGAGGGGTCCGTGTAAATAATCTCTAATTAATTCCATGTAATTAGTCTACCAATTGAAGTCAACTTAAAGGCTTAGGGACATCCGGCACCATTCCTTCAATTTTTTTCCGGCACCATTCCCTCTGCCCCCAGCGACACGGGAGGGGTGAACTAACTACTCCCCTCAACATTTCAAATTTCCCTAAAACTTACTTAAAAGCATCTATACAAATAGGCCTTTCATTTATTGCAAAACTAAGAGTTCCCCTATCACAATCCATCAAAACTCCAATTAAAGAGTCACAAACATTAACACCTCCACTCATCCTTCCATGGTGTGTATCGTTATGGAAAAACCTTTAAAATGAAATTTTTTTGAATTACAAAAAATTTTCTTCTAACCAAGACCGTTCTCCATCAACATACATACTCCAACCATGTACATCTTTACCTAAAATTTTTAAAAATTAATTTTTTAACAAAAAGTATCTCTATTACCAAGCATTGCATGTCTATTCACCGATGGTTGGGCTACTCCAATTACCTTTTTATTTTAGAAATGATTAGATTTTTAAATAAAAAATACAAACAATATCAGCATTTCCATCATATCTGTCCACACTAACCTCCCAATAATGAACTCCTTTTGAGAATGTTACTGTACCCAAAATTGTTCGATATTCCATACTCTAGGGGGAAATAAATAAAAAATTTTAATTTTCGAAAGGTTGGGAGATTAAAAGAGAGAAGGCTTTGAATATTATGGAGGGAATTTGTTAATCTAAAAATCAGAAGAGACAAGGTATTGATCAAAAAGCTCGAAAATTTTCAAGATGTCGATCCTCAGACTTTTTGTTAGTTATAATTAGAAATAGGTAGCTTTCTTTGTTTAAATATCTTTTAGGATTTATTCAAAAAATGAGTACCGTTCCAGTAACTGTACAGCAATTATTCGATAACAACAATTCAGAATTAACTATTCCCCCAACACTTTGTGAACGAATCTCTCTCATAGTTTGTTGTTGTTCATTAGAATTTTCGGCTGAATTATCCTCGCTAAGTTGAAACCAAGCAACTAGAAATTGATATTTTTGTTTATCTAATAGACTCCACAATATTAAATACAACTTCAATATGAGCGTCTATTAGAGAGTGCCTATCTATTAGAATAAATAGGGTATATTAAGAGATACCAGAACCTCTTAATTAGTGTTTCAAACCGAAATTTTGACTGGAACCGGATCCAATTTGAGTTCCGGAACTGGAACTTTTCTTAGTTCCGGCCCGGAACCGGAACCAAAAAAATACCGGAACTTTCCGGAACCGGAACTTCCGGTGAAACTCTACTCTTTATATCCACACAGAACCTTCTATTATCTTTTTTAACCTTCTATCTATCCCACATTCTCAAATATCCTACTCTCTCTAAATATTGCCTGGAGGGGGGGGGGATAAAGACACAAAAACATCACCTGGAGCAGTCTGCAAACAAATTTGTTCACTATAAGTACTTTCCCCTGCCGCATTAAAAGCTTTTAATCTCGCATTGTAAAAAGTATTGAAATGTAGACCATCCACAGAACAAGCATATTCTTGTCCACAATAAACTTCCTTTTTTTGAATTTTTTGAAAAAATTTTTAAACAAAAAATACTTCAAAATTATCATCGCCAGAGTCTAATTCAAGAACAAAACCTTCAATAGAAGCCCCATTAGGCTGACAAACCCAACTTAGGGTGACAGAATTATTTTCGGCAGAACATTCTTCAGCAAGAAATTGTGGGGGTAAAGGGGCTGAGAAAAGAGAGAAAGAAAATTAAATTTTTGGTAATTTAAAAGAATAGGAGGTATGACTGTAACTGACTTTAATACAAAACAAAAAAAACTCGACTAAACACAAAAAAATAATACCATTATAAACTTCACTTTTAGATACACCTAAAATTGACTACAAGAGGAGGGGCTATCTAAGCGATACTTCCCATAACCACTTCATTTTAAGGTAGGATTTCTCCAGCTTCGAAAGGGTTATCTGAAAGTGAAGATTCTATTGTTAATTAACTACACAAGACATTTCATCCTTCCACTAACCTTTATTGCTTGTTTCTTTACTGTTTTTATCTAATTTTAATAAAATTTCCAGAATTTTTTCTTTATTAGTAGGAATCTGTATTCTTATTATTTAATAATTTCCATACTTAAATACCAGGAATGGACTCTCTTACCAGGGGTGTGCCGAAAGTGATTTTAAAAAGCGAAAGGCGAAAATGCGAAAGTCATTTCAAAAAGCGAACGGCGAAAGGCGAAAGACGAAATTTTTTAGTTTCCGCTATAAGTCTGAGATTCTTTGGTCAAATAATTCGAAAGCCTTGCTAAGTGTTCCAAATCTACAGATAACTTTCTTAAATCAATAAATCGGGGATATCAGAGGATTTGCAGGATTAAGAAGGATATCAAAAGAGTTGTACGAATATCGGGGATTTAAAGGACTTCTCCCTTCGTTGTCGTAAAAAGAGTCTGAGAGTCACATGCCGTCATTAGGGGTGTATAATAATTTCGCCTTTCGCCCGAAAAAGCGAACGGCGAAAGGCGAAAGACGAAAGGCGAAACTCGCACACCCCCGTCTCTTACGCCTTCCGAAAAGTCTGTTTATTTTTAAAATGCGACAGGACCATTCCTATGTCAACTAACGATATATGGAATTCTAACCTAGAAATTTTCTTTTTTCCTCACCTTTAAGTTGCAAAAACTCCAATTGTTCTATAGCTGTTTTAACATTTAAAATATCCAAATCAAGTTGGAAATGTTCATCAACTTCTGGACAATTTGTTTTTACTTCTCTGTGCCAAAGAAATTCTTGATCAGTTACTCTATTTGCTAAGGCTGAGCCAACCTAAATAAACATAAATGTTTTTTAATCTGAATTTTTGATTCTATCTGTAAGAAAATTTATTCCAGATTTTTTAACAAATTATTTCTTGTACTTAAAACTCGAGATTTTATTTTAGCAAAATTTGTTTTTGCACAGGACAGATGTTGTAGGCCAGCGAAGTTCTTCTTGGCCTTACAACTATGGTTAGGTTTTTCGGTCCGGGCCGACATTTGAGTAGTTTTTATTGGATCAGACCGACCGAATCTTTTTCGGATCTACTATACAATCCATATACATACATTCTAATAATAAAAGCAAGTAATTAAGGGTAAGGTTGGCGGATCCAGATATCCGGATCCAAAAAAAGGCCGGATATCCGAAAATTTCGGTTCGGATACCGAATCCAGATATCCGAAGATTTCCAACTATCCGCCAACCTTAACTAAGGGCCCTACCAATTCTCATACCAAAAAGAACCACAAAATATAAAAAGACCCTTCCTTCCACATAAAAACTATTTAACAAGAAATTTGCCTGTAAATAATCCAAAGGTTCCGGCTCTTTTAATATTTCAATACAAAATTGGATCAACGCCCTTCCTTTTCCCAATTGAGCAGTTGACCGCCCAATTTGTTTTAAAAGTTGCAATTTTCTTCTTTCCTTTTCATTTTTAATATAATTAATTAATTGTTGTCTTCTTAAACGTAATAATTCTTCTAATTGGTCTAATTGACTTTCAACTCCACGTTGAAATTCACAACAATTCTCCTTTGAAAAAAAAGAAAATTTAGAGAAAAATGGGATTTTATTTATTAATTTTTTAAATAAAAAAAGTAGTTTAGATTCCCCCATCTTTTTTTGTTCACCCTCAACAACTTAAGAGAAGGTTGCCAGCAGGGCTGTTCCGAAATTACGATTTTCACTTTCCCAAGCTTTTTTCTTTCGATTTTCGATATTTTTGAATTTTTTTCTTTAAATTTTCGAAGATTATTTTGTTTCAAAAAACAGCTATGGGCCAAAAATAGAGATCAAGTTATTAGAAGGAAAATGAAAAGGTGATTGTAATTTTATATTCCAAAGTTTCCCTTCTTCAAATTTTGTATATTTAGACTTTAGTAGTTAATTAATCTCTCAATCCCACTTTAATAATAATTTTATTATTATTTACTTACATCAATTCGAGTTTGTAACCGTTTAAGTCCACCAATTTCTTCGGTAGCCTGTCGTACTTTAGCACCGAGAAGTTGAAGGGAATGAGATAATTCTGTCTAAAAAATAAAAATTTGGTGTCTAACCCAAGATCAAAAAAAACAAAATTAATTAATTACGAGAATTTTTTCATTATCTTCCTCTCATTAACCTTTTTTCTTACATCTTTTACATTCTCCAAGCTAACGGAAAAAATTCTTGACCGACTGGTAAAAAAGTTAAGATGGATAAAATGCCGAAAAAACACCTTTTTGAATAAATTCAGCTTTTAAATTAGGTATCTTTTTTACCAACCAGACGAGAATTTTGATTTTCTGAAATCTTGTAGTGTATTTAATTCTCTATCTGTAGGTACCAAGAACATGGAGAAGTCAATTTAAATTTTATTTTTTTAAAATCAATCACTCATTTTTTAACTGACCATCCCTTTCTATTTTACAAATTCTGTAAAAAAACCTTAAAATATTCCTTCCCTCCCATTTATTAAAATTTACTCAAAAATAAAATTTATTTGAAGAGAAAATCTTGTTGAGATTTTTAAATTGCCTTGGGGGATGAATTGGCCTAGAATACTCGCTTTAGTGCGCGCAATACTGTTGAAAATAAAAGGAAATTTATTTTTAAAGTTTTTCCCTAAGGACTTGAAAATTTAAAATAATTAAAAAGGAATTGTTGAGTGTTCCTTTAAAAATAAAAAGCGAATGTAATTAAATAAAGAATTGGGTGGAAATAAATTAAAATTAATTTAGAGGGAGTAAGGGAAACAAAGCTGCACGCAACAGAAAAAAATTATCCACATCCACAATCCGCAAGCCTGAAGGGGAGAGTTTGCAAAAAATATTTAATTTAATTATCCTTCAATATTTTTGGAAAATAGAGGTTCCAAAAATTTTTTGTAAGGAAAAGTCCTCTAAAAATTTCCGCCTGGAAAAAGCCCCCAATTCTTCATTTTTTAAATAATTTTTGGCTCTATCTGAAATGAGGTGCGTAATCATATTTTTTCTCCGTCTTTTCACAAGGTAAAAAGGGTCATTTTTTTCTTAGTATTTAATTTGTGTTGTTTTGCCTTAAAGAAAAACAATGCAGGAGGACTAACTTTTTACATTTTCTTTTCTGTGCCTGTGTTGTCTGTCCGTGTTCGTCCTTGTTTGGTACGTGTATATGTCCGTCTTCGTCCGTGTTTTGTCTGTCCTTCGTCCGAGTTTTTCTGTCCGTGTTCTGTCTGTCCTTGCTCGTCCAAATTTTGTCTGTACATACACGTACCAAACAAGGACGAACTCGGACGAACACGGACAAACAACACGGGCAGAAAAGAAAATGTAAAAAGTTAGTCCTCCTGCATTATTTTTCCTTAAGGAAAAATCAACACAAATTAAATACTAAGAAAAAAATGACCCTTTTTACCTTGTGAACAGAAGGAGAAAAAATATGATTACGCACCTCATTTCAGATAGGGCCTAATTTTTCATAATTTCTTGTCCCCTTAAAAGAAAAATTGAATAAATTCAAGTTCATTTATTTAAAATCAGAATTTTTATAAGAACCTAAAATCAAAAGGAGAACTTTAAACACTTAACCTATTCAATACCCTTTTTATCCCAAATAATTTCCATGTTCTAACAGATGATTTAAAAAATTCCTTTAAAAACCCATATTTCCCTCTTTCCAATTTAACACAAAAATTTCAACAAAAACCCCCAAAAAATTAATAAATATATATTCTTCTACTCAATTTCATTTTACATTTTTAATGCCATAAGGGATTTAACTATTCATTTTCTTATTTCCTCCTTTATTTTTAACAACATTTCCCTCCACAAATTGCTTTTCTCTTTTATTTTTCTTGCCATTTTGGGTGGTCTTTTTATTTCTCTTTTCTTCGAAATTTCAAAATCCTCGGCCTATTTCTGACATTTTTCAACAATTTTATTTCTTAACCACCAAAATCCCCCATAAAAACCAAATAAGCCAATAATGATGATGATGAAGAGTTGGAAATATTTTTGGAAATGAAGAAAGAGAGAAAAGTGGTGAAAATTAGAAAAAAGATTGTGGGGGGGGGGGGGGGGGGGTGGAGGGGTAATGTCAAAATATAGACTAAAAAATACATCCATCCATCATTCATCAATCATTTTGCGCGAGATTAGAAAGGTTATTATTATTATTATTTTGTTGGAAGGCTTAAAGACCTGCTGGTTTTGGGTAATTCTTGCCTTTTTTTGATGAATGGATTAATAGAAATGTGTGAATAAAAAAAATTATTTTTATATAACGGAAATAAATAGTAGATAGAATTGAAATTCTGAATTACAATTTCCACCTCATTGGTTAGCCCAACCCGTCTCTAATTGAGACGGGTTGTATCAGAAGTTTGCTTAGAAATTAAAAATTATTGGTCGAAAGTCGGAAGTAAAAAAGTCGCCCGTCGGAATCTGATCACCCGCCGACCTCTTAATCAGTGTAAATAAACATATTTGGTCTAGGAATTTGTTTTAGAAAAATAAGGCAGACTAAACATTAGAAATTGCAAATTTTATCAACAACAAATTTTTCTAAAGATTCCCATTTTTCAATTTTTCTCAATATAATTTTTGTTCTTTTAATTTACAGAAATTTTAAAAATTTTTAAGTTAAACATTTTTCCAATTAAAAAAAATTTTTTCCAGTCTAAAATTACCCCAAAAAATGCAAAAAAATTTCAGGACGGCCACATACCCCCTCAAGGAAAGGATTATCCCCTAGAGAGGATAATCCCCCAATATTTTTCTTTGTAGCAAAAACTCTCGGTCATTTTGTCCTTTTTAACGTCTTTTTATTCGTTTTTTTATCTCGG